CTGTCAGAGACTGCGCGATGTGATGCGCAGAGAATTTGCAGTATTTATGTCACCACAGTAATTTTCGTTGTATTAAGAAGAAAAGGTTGAAATTTTGTATTCTATCTTGTTAAAATAATTCGGATAGACGTTTAGTTGCTATGGATGGCATCGCATTTCGTTTGTAAGTAATTTTATACTTAACTTATTAAAATAGTTCTAAAAAAAAACTCTTAAATTTTGGGTGGGTCAACTAGGTTAATTTCTAACATACTAGTATTAACCCTTCTAGTTGGAACTCCTTCTATAAAATATTGAGCATATTTGTTGAGTAGTCTCACTAAAGCTTCCCTATCTTCACCTTCGAGATCAGTGTCAATTGAATCGGAAGTTATTTTGTTCGGTTGCAACTCACAAGAATTTGACTGTTTCTTAGAAAAGAATTTAAGCTGATCTTGATCAGTTTGGACGCCAATGTCATTTTCATATCCTACACTAAAAATGGTAAAATAAACCCTTTTTAAAAAAAAAGTTGAACCGACTTCAAAAAACACCGACAAAGAGCACTAAAAATTAAAAAATAATTACAAATCCAAGTAAAAAAACTATAATAAGTACCCTCAATGTAACAGGTAACATTATAATACCAATAGTCCCTTCTAGTCTGTTTGAAGTCGGTGCCAAGCTCGATGTACAATAAGTAATACTGGTCTATGTCAGCTTTATATTAGCACAATGAAAAAATTAAGAATTCAAAATAATTCGAATGAAACATCGAAGATTTTGTTAATTAATAAAGACCAACCAGATCAATTACGTGCGCAAACTTATCAACTACTTATTAAAGAATTCAAAATAATAATATAATTGGAGATGTGCGTCCACTTTAGCTCATTCATCATGTTTTGCGCAGCATGAAGACTGTTGCAGCTGCCGCGCTACATTCTACCATGCCTATCAAGCACCTATTTGGCTTGGCACCGACTTCAAACAGACTAGAAGGGACTATTGGTATTATAATGTTACCTGTTACATTGAGGGTACTTATTATAGTTTTTTACTTGGATTTGTAATTATTTTTTAATTCTTAGTGCTCTTTGTCGGTGTTTTTTGAAGTCGGTTTTTATTTACTACTTAATTGGTTTTGTTAAAACAGTATCTAAGTGAAATGGCGAACACATAACAGTTCCTTTTACGTTATTACAGGACTTCGGCACCCTAAAAAATATTGTAACTATCAAATACTACCCTATTAGTCTGGGCTCGTTCAATTTCACATAAATAATAGCGTTAAGATTTAACACCGACGCTCAACTCGTCTTAATGCATAAACAGTATTGGGGGTAAAAATAACTGAACACAGGGGGCGTAATGTGTTGCCTGCATTTGTCATTAGCACTTTACAACACTGGGATGAGTCGGAAACATGTGGGATTTAAGTGAGGAGAGAAGCGCCCCTCTACGGTTTGATTTATTTATTATTTTTAAAACGGAAGAGTGATGACAGCTCTTTGATTGCGTTTATTTGTCTATGTCAAGTTTCTTTTTTTTTTTTGAATTTTAAATATAGTTCTTTGGTGGTTATTAAGTTTGAGTGGTATTAATAATATATTGTTCAATATTAAGAGTGAAATTTATTTAAGCATATACTTATATATTTTTAATACATACCTATTACAGAGAAATTACACTCAGACACAAAACAAATGACCGTGCTCATCACACAATATTTGTCCTGGGTGGGAATCGAACCCTCGAACTCAAGCTTAGCAGACCCACTAGACCAACAGGCCCGTCAAACCGCGGCATTGTTTTATAGATAAACATGATAATTGAAATATTTTATTTTATTATCTTTGGAATACCAATAGCATAAAACACACTTTCTAGAAACTAAACCTAATAACATCATTGCTATTGACAAGCATTCGCAGATGGGTTCCAAATGTTAAGTTAACACAAATCAAGTAGAAGGAAGAAGCACAAAAATACAAAACAAAACAAGAACACTAAAACAAAACAAAAAAAAATAGATACATACTAGACCAAAAAGCTATATACGTATAGATGGTACACAACGGCATATACATAGTTGATACACTTAAAAATATTAGGTACTATATTTCAACACTTCAAAAAATTACATACTTAATGAAAAAAAAAACGACTTCAATGCGCCAACATCATGATGAATTCTTATAAACTGTATTATTACCTTGCATTTTAATGGGACCAAACGAAAAGTATTAGGCATTAAACAAAATCACAGTGAACTGTGATTTATCATTTGTTCTATTCCTACGTAGGTTAGGGTTACTGCTTACTCACGCGTTGTTTCCAATAACCTGTTTTCAGACGATGCATAAAGACCTTATTTTGCCAATTTAAAAGTAAATCTAGTAATTATTTTATTGTATATAGCTACATAATAATAATAATAATTAAAAGTAGATTTACTGTTATAGTTAATCTAGTATTTTTTAATGGGGAATATACCCAGATAATAATTTAAAAAATACTAGGATTACTGGCAAATTGACAAAATAGGGTCTTTGTGCATCGTCTGAAAACAGTTTATTGGCAACAACGCGTAAATAAGTAGCAACCCTAACCTACGTAGATTTTTTTTTAATGATAAATCACAGTGTACTGTGATTTTTCGCATGTCTAGAAAATACACACTTTCACACACGGTTCACAAATGACGACGTTCTGATGTTACAAATATTAAAAGAGTCCAATTAAGAATCTCTATTTTTTAAGTAAGTTAAAAATAAGCTGCATAGTATAAAATTCTATAAGCGTGTGCTCAAAGTAACCCCGTATTGCCGCCGAGTGGTCCGTCCCAGTTTGTGTAAGCAACTTCATCCAGCCAACAGTTTGTAACTTAAAACTTGTTTATTTGTTGTTTTAGGAGTGGCTCGAACCTAATATAAATTATTAGGTTCGAGCCCCGGGCGAAGTACACGTGATATTTTCGTTAGGCGTTTATCTGTTCAGCGCCCGTGAATGTGTTTTGTAACGGCCACTTAGCCTAATTAGGGTTGGATGAGTTCAACTCGTCGAACAACCTTGTTTACTTAACGCTGAATTTTGTAGCAATAATATAGCTAAAAATGGCTAGATATACAGAATATGAATACTTATATTACAAATGTTAACGTGAGTTTGTTTGTTTGTTACGCTTTCACGCCTAAGCCTCTGAACAGATTTTAAAAAATCCTTCACCAATGGAAAGCTTCATTATCCGCGAGTAACATAGGTTACTTTTTATCGTAAAAATAGCAGTTAAAACAAGTAATTAAGTGAGTTGAGTTGGTTATGAGTACATCACCGTCGATGATAGAAGTAGATGCATAAATATCATAAAATAGAACATAGCGATGTTCAAATCGTCCGGCAGCTTCTGCAAGAATCTTCTTCTTTAAATGGTGAAGGATTTGTGTTAGTTAAATAGAAGACAAGGGCGAGGAGAGGGGTAGCCTCACTTCACGCAACTTAAGTTGTATGAATAATGCGTCGAGGAATAGAGTTAGGATGAGTGAAGGACGCTTCACTCATCCTAACTCTATAGACTTCAAATATAACGGCAGATACATTAACATCTCATTATCATCAACGGTATTTATTAGTTCAGTGCTGGACATAGGTCTCTCCTTAGAAAGGAGGTTTTGTCCTACTATGCCACGATGGCCAGACGGGATAGCGTTTGGGTCAAGTTTTCCGTCTCTTTACAGAGCTGTTGTCCTGCGTAGTTTGTGGTGACACGCCGTATTCTTAATCCATTACCACATAGGCATATTTACATCTATCGACTTATTTTTTTTTTAAATTTTAACTTAATTTTCTAATATTGGCACACCTACAACATTTATAATAAAATGTATTCATCTATCTAATATCAGTACATTATAACTAATGTACGTGTACCTTTCATTTCGCAAATTCTTATTAATAATGTCAAATTTTATATTTACATCATATTTTATTACTACATTCCGAAGATCGACTGATACAGAATGTTCCATGGTATTAAGTCCACCTTTGTACAACTTGTGTGTTAAGTTTTAAATATATCTTAAATGCTCTAGAATATTTTTTTTCAAACATTTCACAATGAGAACAGATTTCATCATGATTAAGTCCTCAGTTGAATATCTCACATTTCATCAGCTCAATTATCCAATTTTAAAACCGAATTCAACACATCATTACCTCTACTTCGGCACGTATCATGTGTCAGTAACGGTGTGGTTGTGAAAGGAGTGAAAAATTTACAAAACAAGGTGTACCATCAATCATTGTCAGTGGCCGTGTGTAGGCCGACCGCATTGGTTTACAGTGCTTCTAAATCTGTGATTATATTAAGGTTTAAGTACCAAAAATGATTTTATTAACGCTCTAATGTAGGTGGGCTGTCAAGCTATGGGAATGGGTTGGAAGCATGAAATATTAGTTAAATACATAGTATTTTTACTCAAACCAAACCAGCTTATCCAGCTCAAGCCAAACTCAAACCAGCTTATCTATGTCGCTTATAATACTAGACTACAATGAAGAGAGGGCACTGAAATGAAACTAAAAAAAATGCTGAATTATCTTGGCCAGTGCAAATGGCTATTGGGCAAAAGCTGGGCATTTTCACCTAAGATTTTCGTTTGTTTATTGTATAAGGGGGCAAACGAGCAGACGGGTCACCTGATGGTAAGCAACTACCGCCGCCCATGGACACCTGAAACTCAAAAGTCACAAGTACGTTGCTGCCCTTGAACTCCCTCCCGCTCGAGTCAGCGGGAGGGGGGATTTGGGCTCCGGTACCCTCACTCACTCAGTGAAACCAACGAAAGAATTGCTTAACACCGGTATTCTGTGAGGCCGTAGTATCACTTCGGTCGAGCCGGCCCATAATGTCGACGCATGGCTCTCCCACGGTAATCGGTGACGAACGTGACTCTACAAAACAGTCATACGGTCACTTATCATATAGAGTGCTATTGCTAGCAGAGAAAAGAGCTAATTACCAATAGCTGTCCTCGAAGTAGCTCTCAATCTGATACCACTAGACTTGATTATTCTGGGAGCCGCAGCCATGGCGACTATACAACTCACCTGAGACTGAGGTTCAATCCATGATCCTCGTGTGATCCTGGTGTCGTTCGACTGGAGAAAATGAATTGTTAGAAGCTCGAAAGTTAAACATAACACTGAACCGTTCTCAGTACAAGTTCCAAATAGAATGACGGCAGGCAGTTTATGTCCAACTGTCATTTCATAACCTGTCACTGCAGTCACTCGTGTTGCCTGCTTTGTATCGTTTTATTTTTTCGGTGCGAAATTTAGAAAACGTTTTCTGTCACAGTTTTCGGCAAATTAGAATAGAATAGAATAATATTTATTTAATAAAGCACAGCATACAATAATAAAACAAAATTTAAAAATCAAGTAAAGTTTGATAACGGCAACATTTTTCAATGTGTCAATCTTTCATTTCTGACAGAACTGACATGACACGTCAATGTGCCACGTATCCAACCACGCGTCTATAAAATTTTACTAAAAATAACTATGTTAGTACTTATCAACTAATGCTTATCAACCTGTGTACCATAAAAAACCTTTAATGTTACTCAGGATTTTACGCCGTGCTTCAGAAAATAGGTAGAACCTCAGTGTACACTGTGGTGGATAGATGCCACCTTAGTACTGATTTTCAGTGCCCACCTACAATATTGTGCCCAATTACAATATTTGTATAGAATGGGAAATGCATAAACAAAGAATTAACTATCTTCTGAACAATTCTAAACTCAAACAGTATAATTTTTTTTCGTAATGTGACAAACAATTAACATGTTGCAGATTCAATCAACGATGTTACTTAACTGGAAAAATTCAAATCCAGACTAATGAAACTGGACGGGACTGAAAGAACATTAAGCTTCCTTTATTGTCAACTCAAGAATGTGAGTGTAAAATGATATTGATAATAATAATAATTATCAAAATCCTCTAACTCTATCTTTTAGTCTATAAAAGTCCTTTTAAGCAAATCAAAGAATTTATATAAAATACTTCCACGCACGCAAGTAAACATGAATTATAGTACTTGTAGTGTAATAAATTTAACCCACAATTCTAGCTTTGCTTTAATATCCTGCTACAAGGAGATGGTTTCCACGACACTAGCGCTCCCCCAACCGCTTGCCCGTTTAACTCAAGGTTTGGAGTGCAATCTCAGAACAGTTACTGTGCCCGAGATATGTATACTCTGAAGTGTAGACTAGCATTTAAATTTCGGTTATATTAATTGTATTTATCGCTGAAGTAGGGACTTTGTGTTCGGTAACAAAATTTCCATTCAAAGTTTCAATGTTTTGTTCGTAAATTTAAAGCAGTAGTTTAAGGTTTTCTTTCTTTATTTTCTTTTTTAAAAAAAACAACTCCCGCATTAGGAATATACCCTGTGTCGCGGGAGACTTTACAAACATACATGAAATGGATACAAAGAACACCTAGACTCAGAACAACAATTTGTGGATCACACAAAGTGTCGTCCCATTGGGGTTTGAACCCACAGCACTCGGCGTAGTAGGAAGCGGCTTGGCGATCGCTTAAACCACTACGACATCCATGCAAGTCAGGTTTAAAAGTCATATGTACAACAAATACTTGCTAGAACAACAGAAATATCTACTCTATATTCTATATACAGGTTTGTTGGTGGTTGAATTCAGTAATACGAGTTAGTGTGTTAATTGTAACCAAATAAATAAGATGACATTGGTTTTCAGAAGATAGCACTCCTTATTAAAGGTCAATCTCAAAATAACAAATGTCATTGGTCCCAATTATCTAATATGAAGTGGGCGGTGTAGATCCATCACCAAAATTCTAATAATAAATAGACTACTCTTAAAATATAATTAAAATTAAGATTTTCAGAAAAATAAGCAAATGTACAATCCTATAACTTTCAAAAATAATTAACTTACTTTTATAGATGTCATGCAAAGCAATAATTATTCACAAGAGCCACATAACATTGTTCTAAAAACACAAAATGGTTACTCCTATTTAATTAATAATATTGCACTTGACTGCACGGATAGCGTAGCGGTTTAAGCGGTCACCTCGCTGCTTCCTACTGCACTGGGTGCTTTGTTTTCGATCCCCACTTTTGTGTGATCCACAAATTGTTGTTCTGAATGTGGGTGTTCTTTGTCTCCGTTTCACGTACTTATATCTAAAAAGTCCCTCGTGACATAGGACACAAGTCACCTAGTGCGGGAGTTGTCTCTTTATTTTTAAATAAAATTGAAGGAAAAAATAACAGACGAAAGAAGACCAGGCTCGTCCAATTGATGACCACTCGTTCACGAGCATAACTTTACGATCATCGTTCAGCACAACCATGTCATAAGTACATGGTTGAGTCATGTTATAAGTACCCATATCACCCGACACATACGAAACGAGAAGAACAAGAAACGAATAAATACAACTTAAATTTACTTAACTAATTTGTTACAAACAAACTGCCATTAAGTGATGACTGCGCAGTGTTAATAACCGTGTCTGGTATCTGTTTAACGTTTTTTTCACCACTTCTCCCCATTTTACTGGAATTAAGTTTAATGGCAACACAAATCACTAATGTTTTGTACTAAATGCGTCTTTGCTTTTTAAAACCTCTTAATTACTTTCTGGGAATTTTTGGCGTTAAAAAAAATAAGTCGATTTGGTTTGTATTTCAAAGAATTCCTCAATCTACGTTTTATTTAAACGAGGTATTAAAAGTCGTTTTAATTCTGTATTAATTTAAAACGAACCCCTACAGCCACATTTATACTTTTTTTTAAGTTGTCTTTTATCCGCAGCATCTTTCGCGTTTATGTCAATTTTGTTAATTAATTTCTCTATTGTACTATTTTAGACTATCATAATAAGAAAACCTTTATTTTGTTTTACATCACATACTTAAAATAATAACAGTACTTGGTAAACATTAACACTTAATTTTACGGTGCAAGCAGCACGCCTCTGGAATTCGTCACCGAAGCTACATACGAGTATAAGGCAGGCAAAGTCAGTGGGTACTTTTAAAGAACTCGTTAAGGATCACTATTTATCTCTGTAATAACTATGTGCTATATGGGTATGTGCATGTATTCATATTTATATATGTATGTAAGTGTACGAATGTGTATTCGTATATATGTATGTAAATACATATTACTATATAGTATAGTCCATCTAAAGGTTGCCTGGAAGAGATCGCAGACTGCGATAAGCCCGCCCATTGTATCACTGTTTTTTTTGGTATGTATCATCGCATGTATCCTTGTTATGGTGTGCAATTAAGAGTATCTACCTTCCTACCTACTGTGAAGACAAAATGGTCTTGTATGGATAACAGTGCAAAGCATGCCAGCCGCGGTTATTCCATCCAAGTCAATCATGGTTAACAATCTTAGAATAAGCACAACGACAGCATCCCGACCACGACCAGACCACGTTTGTGTTCGTAAACATTTTCAATCCACAATCCGGTAACAATGCAATTGTTTTTACATAATAATCACTACAATTGTACACCAATATTTCAAGATAATCTGTATAATTTATGAATTTTATTATTTTAGTATTCTATCTTCAAAATACTCTCTTATGCTGTAGTAGCTTTTACTTACAAGAAAGAGTTTTAATTTTTTTGTGAAACTGTTATATTTATTTTCTTATTTTATGGTTTTATGTAACTGATTGTATATTTTGATGGACATTACAAATGGGCTGTATGAGTGCATTTTGGGTCGGGAAGCTGGTAAATTAAGTCTATCTTTGTGTCTAAGCGTCATTTTGGTTTGTATGTCCTCTCTTTTGCTGTAGAACTCTGGGTGTTGTCTAACGAATTTACAGGTTTCCAATATGTAGATACTGGGTAAGGTTAAAATTTTAAGTTCGACGAAGTGAGGTTGGCAACTGTCTGTGTCTAACTAGTTTTTTCTGTAAAGTGAATAGTGTAGGTGCATCTGTACTATTGCCCCACAGGATTATTCCGTATGTAAACCACGCTTAGGCATATGAATAGTAGGTAGCAAGTGCTGTTTTAAGGTTTCTGTGGAAAGTTTCCTCCATATTCGTTCAGCCGTTCTGGTGTGAACGAGTAACACACATCCATACATAGTAATTAGTGCGTGTCAGACATTACTAGTATTGTATGCTTGTGTTGGGAGTATATTTACGTCAATATAGTATACGAGGAGGGGTTAGAACCACTCATAATTACAAGTCCGACGCCTTAGCCATTAACCTCTCCCTCCCTCCTTATTAATCGATGTATAATACAATAACAATGTAAATGTTACGACAATGTGTAGGTCAACGTTTAGAAACATTCTAACATTATTCTTTATTACTGTACTGTATTTCGCTTCTATTCGTATTCATTGTACTAAATTCTATAATGACATACATACATTTAAGCCTATATCCTGAAGGGGAAAGCAGAAGCCTATTAAACGTCCCTATTTTGCCTTTGCAGAACCGACAACCATTGGGGAAAACGAGTTCCTGAGTGGAGACCGCGTCTCGGTAAACGCAGTGTAGGACGACGACAGGTTAGGTGGAGTGACGACATGCGTAAGATGGCTGGCAGGAGCTGGGTGCGAGAAGCCGTAAATGCAACAGGAAAAGCCTATGTCTGGCAGAGGACTGCGATAGGCTGATGATGATGCTGATGATGATTATGATTTAGTCGTTAATTTATAATTTTAGTCGCACTTAGCAAATGTGACGAAGTATTGGGATTGAATTGAAAGTAACGAAGTACTGGAATTGGGAGTCTATCGCAAGGAAAGGTAGATAAGAAGGGAAGGCAATGTTAGAATATTGCTTACTCAAATATATTAATGAATATAAACAGTAGGTCGTGACCCTGACCTATTCGAGCTACTGTTAATACCTGATACTAGAATTGGTAAGTCAGAGCCATGGCATTTTATCAACGAGCGTCAGTATTACCAGTAATGAATAATATTATTCCATGCTGCCTCCTACCGAGCGGTTTTGTTTACTTAGTCTGTGGTTTCGATCGAAACGAAATCCGAATCGATAGCGACGAATAAAAATACGAATTGCTCTTGAAGCTTTTCGAAATTTGAATAACAAATCAACCAATCTTAAATTCTAAGTCAGCATTTTATTTTACAGTCAGTTGTTGTGCGTCAAAAATAACATTTGGTATCGAATATCGATATTTTAATAAATAT